AACAACTTAAAGTCAAAACAACTGCTTCTCATAAAACTACTAGAAATACACCTCCCCATAGATGCCATCACTAGTCAAATGCCCATAATCATTCAATCCTCCTCCTTTGATTGATAGAATGAATTTATTCCAATGCTTGAGTTGCGACACGAGTCAACATTGACTCCTCTCCTAAACTATCATTCCTATGAGTTTCATGAGCGATAGTATTGAATCAAATTCTATTATTCTTTATATGAATTAGAAAATCGTCTTACCCAGCATTAGAGATGTTCATAATGGCCATGATACAGCAAAAACTAACGATTAGGACATCGTATTTAGGCTATCTGACAACAAGATACAACATGACGGATACCATAAACACCAATCCCCTCTTTGTATCTACTCCAAACAACTCCTTCCATATACTCGTATATGGAGAAACTCCGGGACAAACGAACCGGTGTGAGGCAGCTTGAATGTATTGACTGGAGCATAAGCCAAAAGAAAAAGGAACGGGGAAAAGGCTTCCTTGCGGATAGAATGCGTGAACCCGCGATGTACGCAAGCGACCTAACAATTGCACTACTACGTCCACAGGTACCATGAAAAAAACTACTCTCTTCATCTAGAGATTTTTAATAACACTAAAAGGATTCAATGTAGACACGACGATAGCCGAAACAATGGATCTTATCTGACGCATCAAATGAAACTATACGTTGGTGCTTTTTGCGGTTGTAGGAGTAGCAATTTTTCTGTCAATTCGACCAATAATTTTGGCCACTCTCCACTTTACAAGGACATGATGCCTAGTCTTGGAACATGAAGAAGTAGTGTATTCGAATGAAGTTTTGGGTATTGAATTTTCCTTGTACGGATAATATGATCTTTCGCTTTACTGTTTATTTCCTCCACACGACCAATTGTCCGTTTAAGTGCTATTTGTTTAGATTTTAGTGTTAGTTTCTCCTCTTCTTCGTTATGCCAAAAAAGGGAGTGGTATTTATGCATATGTATAAAACAAATCTCTATAACTATTTTTTATGAAGTCGTGTATCTTGTTGTGACATATAAATTTAATTGTTATGATTTTCAATTGATAATATTCTTCTCTTACCGTTGTTATATAAAAAAAAAAACATAACACACAAAAAAAATATAAAAATGAAATGGATAGCAAATATCCTCCTTATTTCAAAGATATAATATCACTTTATGACAGATATTGCGATGCAATCAGTTTAAATGATAATTAAAATCTAAGCTTTATCTAAGGAAAACAAATTATCTGGAATATTATATTGAACAATGTAAATATAAACATCATTAACATGTCCTCCTGCCCATACAGGGAGTGACATTTTATAATAACATAATAACCATATATACTTAGTATATAAGTAAATATCAATTGATTAATTGTAATTAAAGTAAAGCACTAATCAGCAACTGAATTATATGACTTAAATGATAATTAATTTAAGAAATATTATATTTAACTATAAATAGTACATAGCTCAAATTTAGATATATTATTGAATTCCGTACGTATAATTATTGACTGTATACAGAGAGAAAAAATATTAATTAATTTTTTAAATGAGTTATTTTGGATGATCCACTTAAGAATAATAATTTTCAATACAAAGTCTTCTTTCAACAAATTAATATATTTTTCACATTTACATTCATTTGCTAGAAATATAGATCTGAATATTATACAAAATTTGATATAGCCTATAAATATCAATTTAGAAAATCTAAAAGAGACAATAAATTTATATTGTTGTTAATAAGTGTTTAAGTATAGATTTTTAAATATCGTTAAATAATGAATGATGCTTAAAGAGATATAATACTAAAAATTTAAACAATATGATTAGTGAAATAGAGACATCAATTATGTAAGAAATGTATAGAAAAGTGCTAATGAGGGAGAATAGATTAATCTCAAAAATATTAGAATGAGAATTATAATGCATACCTATCGTATATCATACTCAACGAGAGATTTTGAAACTTTTCCTTGTGAGGCCTCCATGTATTGCTGATCTTGAGGAAGCTTTGTGAAAAGTTTCAAGCCATCACTGCAACTCCACCGCATCAAGAAGGTGAAAAATGAATTTGGTTCTCAATCATACCTGAGACCAAAACGGTAACATAAAAATCCATACATATCTTAAACCAAACTAGAGGCACCTAAAAAGTACTTTTTAAGTTAACA